GTAAGGAGTGCTTTTAAAAAAATAGCTCAAAGTGACTTACTTTAGAGAAGCAAAAGTCCAAATTAATTTTGCAAACGCCTTAAAACAGATTATGAGATAAGAAAACTTAGAAGCTATTTTTAAAAGTTTTTGCGACCACCACCTAAGTGTTTTAAGACCATAAGGAAAATGACCTCCGAAAAGAAATCCCATTGAATATTGAGATTATTCATGCTCGAGTTTAGTATTTTAATTTTAAAATATGACCATTTAAATGAAATAAATGAATTATACACTCACTAGAGAAACTATCCAAAATTGAAAGGAAAATAAATAAAAAAATATACTCACTAGAAATTTACTTTGATGAATCTAAACACCACACACACACACACGCACACACACACACAGAATCTCCATTACAACAAAACAAACCCTTTCGAAATACAAATCAAGGAGAATTGGCGCGCTTTCCATTACAGCAAAAAATCGGCAAACAAATCCACAATTCCTTTCAGAGAATGCTTCTGCCAAAGCGGATAATTCCCTGGTCGTCGATTCCACCATTTGTTCGGCGGCGACGGCGGCGGGCGGTGGAACTAGGGTTAATCGATTGTCATATAATCCGCTGCGGAGACCATACTTTCATCCACGATTAGCTTATCCGGTGGTAAGAATCGAAGTTAGTTTGTGTGTTTATTGTCTTATTGAAGTTTGATTTGCTTAGAAAAAAGTAAATTTGGGATAATTATGTTGAACCTGTAATCTGTAAGCAAATCATGAATATTCAACGGATAATTTGTTCTTTCTCGTTCGCCATCAACCAGTTGACTTTTGACAGTGTGTAAACAAAAGCTTGATCAAGTCTGTTGCTTCATTGGTTGAATTATTATGACCCTACTATGTTTAATTAGGTTTAAATAATCAAGTCAATTTTTAATAATCAAGTCAATCCCCTCCCTACATTACTTTCTCCCATTCAAGGCTCTCATCAGTTTTTGTTAAACATTTTAAATCTTGTGATAATTAGCAGCTTGAATTCTTGTCAATTGTTTATGTGAGAATCTGATGCATGCCTAATTGCTTCCAAATCAGGTTACATTTGATTTTCTATTTTGTTTATGATTCTTGATTTTGAATAAAGAATGGGTTCTTAAAGTGAATTATGTCATTTTTCGTGTGCAGTGCAGTAATTGATTGGGTCGAGGTATAGGAATAACAATTTTTGTGTAAGATTGAATCTCTTTACTTCATCAATAAAGAAAGAAAAAGGATTTCGGTTATTCTCTACTAAGTGAGAATTGTAGTCCATTATGTCGTCTGATCTTTGTGGATCACGCTTTCTTTTGGCTTTGCCTCATGAAATATTTTCTGTAATAACGAGTTCCCTCTCTCCGAGGGATGTGTGTAGTCTTGTATGAGTTGTCCAGCCTCAACGCTGTTGCGTCATCCGACGAAGCATGGCTTGCCCAATGTGAACAACCG